TGTATTTGCACAGAACCTATCCACCCTCTTCTCACATTACTTACAATGACCCAACACAAGGCAAATGCTGTGTAGGTAATGGTCACCCTAATGCTTAGGGACCAAGGACAAGAAAATAGGGACATGTGCAGTTCAATTTCCTCCCAAACGTTAGTTCCACATATAACTCCATTATCTGAACCAAGTATGCAAGGAGCGACTGGTCACCCCACTATGTAAGTATCTATGATTTCCCCAGATTCTTCTGCTCTTCCCCCTTTGTAACACTCTTGGAGCATACGTCACCACACTCTTTACCCATGCCCCAAAGAGCTGGTCCTGGCCCTGAGTGGCCAGGGTCCTGTCAGTCCCGACACTGTGCCTCCCTCTTATTCCCCCAGTCACTCTGTCACCCCTCCCAGGATGCTTCTGGAAGCCCCTCCCTACACTTCCTCCCTCTCTTGCCTCCTGCCTGGTCACTGAACGTTGCTTTTTCTCTCTGTTTACATTGTAACTTGAAATATAAACTCTTTCTTTTGACCAGAAATTCCAACATTTTAAGCCAAATATCAGAGAAGCTACAAAAAAAAATAAGCCCTTCATTTACTTATACTCCTTAAGTAACAAATTGCAAGTGCAGCACATCTTTTTTTTTAGTGGCTTTCTCACCCGCTCTCTGGAAACTGCTCTCCTCATATAAAACGATAGCCATATCCCCAAACTGCAGCCACCAATCCTCTCTTTGGTCGATTTGCACACAATAAAAACGCCAGGTGGTACCAAAAAATTTACCCCTCCCCAAAGAAAGCACCCATCATTAAAAAAGGGATGTTGTCAAGAAATAGCTGTTTTATTTAACAGCTATTCATTTTTATTGAATAAACATTTTCTGGTATGCATTCTGTTAATTGACCTGCCAGCATATGCTGTATATGGAGAAACTTCTAAACATTATGTTCTATGTAATATGCTTATCTGAAAAAGCTCTCATTTGCAGCAATATGGAAATAAAATCCTGCTTTCAAAAATTCAAGACTTTTCAAATGCATTAATCCACACAGTTTATGAAATTGCTCTGGACATTTTAAAATCCTTCCTTTAAGGAGGGAGAAAAAAAACGTTAACAATCAATAATAGTATCTGTTGCTGCATTTCATAATGGAGTAGTCATTCTCCAACACAGGAACTCAGAGACACACAAATGGAGGCAGGCATAATAGGAAGTAAAAAGCAGTCATGGTATAGGGTAAAGACCTACTCAAGGGCTGCAAGAGAATGCTCAGAAATGCTATCAAATTACATTATTAGAAAACCATTGTAATAGTTCCAGAGCCTGGATATAAATAGAGCTGAAACATTATCGAGACAATATGCTTTGTTTTGAGGAGAGAAGACAAGGCACTTGTATGGGCGGGCTCTTCCAGCTCATGGCCGCACCTCTCCTTGGCTGGTGACTTCTGAAGGATGATGCATCTTCCAGCCTAGCATCCCTTGCTGCTTTGCCGAGAGGGCAGGGGTGATACTTTGCTGGGTGGAGCCATGGTGAACCACAAGGCTACAGGGCTCCCTGTCTTCCCTCAGCAGCCATTCATCTCCCAACAGTCGCTGCCCTTGTGGGATGGTCGCCCAAGGTTGCCAGACGTTCTGATTTTTCAAGAGAGGATGAAAAAGCGAAGTCCTCCCATTTCTCCAGGCTGTCAACTAGGTAATTCTTTAAAACAAATTCTGTTTGAAACTCAACTTAGGCAACCAATGCAATCACTATGGCAGTGGTTCTCTGTGAGAGCTGAAGTTTCTCAAAAGGGCACTTGCTATAATTTGCAGTCATGATTGGCAAGAAGGAGCTCAACACAGAGCTCACTTGGCGCCCACCCCCACCCCCACCGAATGGCACCCCACCCCACCCCCACCGAATAACACCAAAGGTTCTGGTACAAGTAGAATATTCTGAACCATTCCGTGTAACTCACAGCATAATTAACTCGTTTTTACACCAGGCAGCTTGAAGCCAGATCTTTGTGTTCCATGGACTTCTGACATATTTTACAGTTCTAACTCTCTTCCACTGTCCTCCATTAATCAAAGCTGTAACCCCTGTTGTCTTTGTACTATGGAATCAGAATGTGCCCCTGGCGAGGAATGGGGGAAAAGTCAACAGGAATTAAATTTCAGTGCAACTGTTTACTCAACTGTGGCCTGCAGATATTGAAATTTTATCCGTGGTTTTGTGTGACTACCGCAGTAATGAATTCAGCATGGCTGCGATTTTCTCAGTGCTTGCATTCTCACTTTGAGTAAAAACCTGCAGGAGAAAAATGACGAAAACCACGCAGGTCCACCAGCGAAACTCACCATTTCTCCACACAGTTTAATTGCTGCTGTTTTCTGGGTGGCCGAAACCTCGGGGAGCTTTGGGCCCCTGGACTGTTTGTAAGGCTATAGTTTTTCCTCTGTCACCTAGGCATTCCCATGTCCCCCACCAACCTGTTTAGAGACTTCTCTTACATAGGGAGACAACGCAGCTGTGGATGTTTTATAAGGCCTCAAAAGGCTTGCCAACCACAATAAGTGGGGCTTTAGCCACAATCCTAGACCTGATGGATGCCTTTCTTCCTCAAACATATCAGTGACAAATAGACAGAAAATTGCCGTGAAATATTTATTTTCGAGTTTCAAAGTGGAATAAAAAATCAAGTACTTGAACGCTGCATGAATGACCCTTTAACAACACATTCTCCAGAAGGGCTCTAGCCCAGGTAACTGACTGGTGACTCATTATTTTTAAGAAAAATGCAACGGAAATGTGCTTCCAGAATGTTCTTCTGTGTCATTCATGTGGCGCTGCTGATAGTGTTCTGTCGTAGGGTAGATGTGTACAGTAGGTGTATTGAACATGTAAACTTTCATGGTTGCTTGAATACTTTTCTGTTGTTTGTTTAAATGGTTTTTTAATTATTATTATGACATTTGTGTGTAAGAGAGGGAGGAGGGATTTTGTTCTGTTCTTCTCTTGCTGTGTGCGTACTGGGAATCAAACTCAGGTCCTCAGGCTTGGCTTAAATATTGCTGGCTCCTTGGTTAAATACTTTAATATTCTGAATATTTGTCAGTCCTTCAGGTAAAACTCAAAAGAAGTTAATGTCCCACTAACTAAACTAATGTACTCTGAATACAAACTATTTGGGCCGCACATTGCCTAAGTCTCATCTCAACTACCTCATAAAGAAATGGCTGATCCTGACCTCCATCTTGTAATGGCCTAGAAGATGGTACTCTAAGAAATACTCATCTTGCCATAAACAGATGAGGATATCACACAGATGGGCATTATTGCAAATGCTCTCCTGCCATTTACTGCTGGGTTTGGCAAACAACCTCCCAAGTCAGAATCTAGTCACTGTGTATTGACTGCGGTGCTCAAATTAATACAACACAAGGAGCATGAATTCTAGCTGAGAGGCGCCCGTGAAAAGAAATCAAGTCACACACACTGTGTTTGTCAGCCAACCTCCTGACTTCCAGACTTTCTTCTTCTCTCCAGGCCTTTCCCCAATGGTACCATGGTCTCATGATGCATCCGCCAATATCTAATGCATTCACAGTCTACCCACTGCTTTTATTTTATTTTATTTTTTGTTTTTTGTTTTTTTGAGACAGGGTTTCTGTGTGTAGCCCTGGCTGTCCTGGAACTCGCTCTGTAGACCAGGCTGGCCTCCAACTCACAGAGACCCGCCTGTCTCTGCCTCCCGAGTGCTGGGATTAAAGGCGTGCGCCACCACCGCCCGGCCATTTATGTTTTAATGCATGTCTGCAATTCAACTATTTTGGAGATGGAGGTAAGAGGATCTGGAGTTCATGGCCAACTTGGGCTACATAGCCATTTCAGAGCCAGTAGCCTCAGCTAAGTGAGAACCTATCTCAGGAAAAGAAGATATCAAGGACTCTTACCAAGGGCTCCAGACCTAAGAATTTGATTCAAATTTCAAGAAAGTAGTTTGAAAGGTCTGTCCTTTTCTCTTAGGGCATTTCCTAACATTTTCTCTATAGAAAAGTTAAAAAATTTCCCCAAGATGTTTCATTTTTTTTTCTCCCAAACACATGATTACAAATGGTACCACAACTACGCACAAGATAAATGAATCAAGGACAAAACCTGCCCTGTTATCAGTAGCAAAAACCCGTAATATTTCCTGATCCCACGGGGTGGGAAACCCAATCCAGTCTTCAAGGAAATACTATTTACATTTGAATTTTGACCAACACAATACCATGTCTTAGGTCACCTGCACTATTGGGAAATGTTTCAACAGTTCCTCCCAAGGACCCGCTTCCACCTTGCGAAGGGCCAAGAGGGAAAGAGACGGTCTCAAGCAAAGGACATGTTGAAGAGGCTGGGATAGGAGATGAGTTAAAACACCACTGAGATTTTAGCCAACACCATCTGCTGTCAGACTCCATGAAACCGACGCCAATGCACACACCCTAGTTCTTAGAAGTAGGAGGAAGTCATATCCCAAACCGATGTCTGTCTTATAGACATGAGTCTGTTCTTTAACCATGTCCACTTCTATTTCTATTTGTCTCTATTTGCTTTCTTTGACTACCTTCCTCCCTTCTCCCATATCCTTATTTCTTTCATCTTTAAGCTCTGATTTTCTTTCTTCATAAGGTTGAAGCCCACTTTTATTTAACTACCATTTTTATTTGTCAACTATTTACCTCAAGCATCAACAACCATTTTTTTTCCCAGAGTCATTTTAATTGAATAATAGAAATGTAGGCGACACGTTGGGGACCGGAAGGGAACGGCTCAAGGTCCACTCAACATTAAGTCTAACATCCACCATCCAGAAAGACACTTGCACCTATCAAGGACTTCAAAATGAGTCTCAGCCATGGTGAGGAGCCCTGGGTGCCTAAGAATATGCTGTATCCAGGCAGATGGATGTGCCAGGTGGACGCACCTCCAACATGGACAGTGGCTCAACTCCCACTCACGACCCCAGCTCCCAGACCAGTACCTGCTGTTGCTGCTGCTGGACGTGGGCTAGGTCGGCTGCCCCCAGGTCCACCGCTGGTGCCTCCCCGTTGGACCGAGTGTCACGAAGTGCCCCACACTCTAGTAAGTGGTTGCCACCGCTGGACCCGTTCTGGATGGCTGATCCGTTACTTTTTGTCTCAGACCCAGATTCTTGCATCATGACTCAAAAACCTGAGAGGATTTTCAGAAGAGGGGGGTGACAGAGAGAGAGAAGTGGGGGGGGGGTAAGGAGGGAAAGAGAGAAGGGGGGAGAGAGAGACAGCTGTTAAAACAGTTGCTGTGGGGAATGAAAGGAGTTCTGCCTTGCCACGTTGCTGAACTCTGTAAGCAGTTGTCAATCTCCCTCACCCCCTTTCTCCCTTATTAGAAGACTGGTCCCCTACTTTAGTACTGGGGGCTGTCACTCTCAATTCAAGTTCTACTATGGTTCAAAATACATCATCCATTCCCTCTCTGGAAAAACAGATGGGTTCAGGTGATCCGAGGAGAATTTAGCAGTCAATTTTTCTGCTGGGATTCAGATATTTTGCCAAAAAATCCAAACACTTTAAGTTATCACACAAGTTATAAATTTAAATATTATCAGGCTCAGACACTTTATGGCAATGCAACATTCTCAGAGAAGAAACATTCTCCAACTACAGTCTCTCAAATGACAAGACACATTAATTACTACAAGTCCCCTCAAGGAAATCAGTGCTGCAAAACCTACAGTCAAACACCAAAAGCATTTTCAGGATTCTCAATCCTTGGTACCATCTGGGCAGTTCAAAATTGGTCATTCCTGTAAGACAGGCCACTGCTAGAAAGAGAGAGGGGCAAAAGGGGTTTCCCATTTCCAGAGTGAATGAATTCAGACTACGTTGTTTTACAGCTAAGGCTCTCAGAAGAACCATAGTCAATGCTAATTTTTCTCCTGGTAGATCACTGAACTCCAAGGTGTGTAAGGGCTGATATTTCAGGGTGATCCTTTGTACTCTTAATTTTGGAGAGAAGTGCTGCCTAGAAAGACTACAGAAAAGGTCAGAAATTTAAAGTCCTAAGTGTAAGGCTTGGATACAGCTCAGTGGTAGAACACTTGCCTAGCATATGTGGAATATAGGGTTCACACCTCAGCACTGCCAATAAGTAAACTAATTAAATAAAATATTAAAGTATTAAAATGTCTACTAGAAAAATATATAGTATAAAACAAATAGAGAAAAATCTGTTGTCTCCTCTTATTTTTAGGTTTTTGTTTTTGTTTTGTTTGTTTGTTTGCTTGCTTGCTTGTTTTTGGAGACAGGGCTCTATGAAGGAGCTCAGGTTGTCTTTGAACTCGCAATCCTTCTGCCTCAGCCTCCCAGGCGCTGGCCTTACAAGGCAAAGACAATACCCGACACCAAGTCAACTACTTCATTCCTGTTGCTCTCTAAGCACAAAAACCATTCACTGGGGGAGCCAGTTTAGGTACTCAACCAGGACAAAACCTATCTTCTGATCCCCGGTATTGTGCTAGGCTCTCCACAGTGCAGATGATTCCTGTGTGCTCTGTAGCTCCCAGGAACAATCCCCAGTTCCACTTCGTAGAGAAGAGAAAGGACGAGGCTTGGGATGGGGAGATGGCTCAGTGGGTACAAGCACTGGCTACACATGCCTGGTGGCCTCAGGTCAGATCCGCAGAACCCAGGTAAGAACTGGATTCAGTAGGACAAGCATCTCTGTGTTAGGAAATGGGATTTGGAGATAGGAAAATCTTCATATACATGGACCAGCTAGTCTGGCTGACGCAGCAGTGAAACAGCCCTGTCTTACGTTAGAATGGCTAGGGCCAGCATCTGAGGGTTGTTGTCCTCTGACCTCCAAACATCCACAGTGGCGTGCATGTGCCTACACTCATGCCCAGCCTCCAACACAAGTAAATTCCGGAGGGGAAAAAATGAGGCCTTGCGAGTTATTCTCATGTCCACTGTGCCACGGCTAACCACAGCGGGCACAGGAGAGGAGCCACACTCCTTTGATGGCTGGGCTCTCACTTGTAGTAGCATGTTTTCTGAAGGTGAGGTACAGGGTCACAAGCCAAGTTCACAGACTAGGACTTGGAAAGGAAAAATATTAGTCACTAAAGGAAGGAGTCAGTTTAGACATCAAAGCTGAGAAATGCCTAAATAATTAAGACTTCAATGTGCATTCCCAATGCCAGACAAAACAGAAAATATTTCGTTCAAATTACCCATATGTAGTACTACTACCTATTTCTTTCCCACTGCATGAGATACATAACTACATCAAAACTGAAGCATTCTGGACACCTTCAGGAGGCTGTGCTTTTGTTAAAAACCAACAGAGGTCGGTTCTCGGCAACTTGCCTGACAAGCAGACAGAAACATGACCACTTCAACAATTCCCATCTCATCCGTTTGCAGTGCAGAGTCTCTAGCAGCTACAATGTGAAGGTCAGGAACCCAAAGCCATATTTGGTCAGTTAGTCCCATTCTAAAGTAGATGGAGAATGTCACTGCGTGTTAACGGGTGTGCAACAACAGGCGACAGTGTTCGCCTCTTTGGATCGGACTTTCTAGTAATTACTATCCTATAGAAACCGCCTGCCCTGCCTTACCTCCCACTGTGGAAAGAATCTATCAAAACAGAACGCAAGGAAACAAAACACTACCCCAAAACAGAATCAAGACAGGCAACAAGAGACCAGTAGCACGGGAACATCTTCTCTGTCTCAAAACACCATGTGCTAAAGCCTCAGGGTTTCTTTCCTAGTGCTTTAGTTTCTATGCCATACACATATCGTTCATATGTTTGGGCACTTAAGAGAAAAGGTTTCAGGCTGGATTCAGCTCAGAGGTACAGCAGGCATCCTGAATGCCCCTTGAATGTCCTAAGTCAAGCCCCCATACTGTAAAACAACAAGGGAATAGATGGAAGTCTCAAGGTAGTCAGCAATAAGATCCATATTATTATTAGTTATAAAAAAAAAGATACCTAAATAAAAGGAATGCTTCCCACCTTCTGGAAAGTCTGCCTATGCCAAAGAATAGACTCGCAGGACAGGCAAGCAGCCTTTAGAAGCACTCCACACCTACCCGAAGACAGGCGCGCACACAGTCATACATTCCGTCCTTACAGGACAGAACTATCTATGTAAGTGCTGCCATCCAAGCACGTGACTCTGGGGATCTGGGACTGGGAGCAGGTGTCTAAAAGCCTGTCCCTCCTTTTGTTTCCTTGGTTGACACCATCATGGTAGGTGGAGTAAGAAAAACACCTCTGATGCACAGTCTGAAGGCCATCCCCTCTGTTCCGCGCAGCTCCCAAAAAGACTGCGAAGTCCTCCAGTACAAGTTGGGCAGGCCTGCAGCCAAGCAACTTGGCTCATGAATTGGGTTTGCAAGAGTTCAGACTTTGGGACTAAAACCATATAAAGGATTATTTTGGTCTAAGGATGTCCTTAGTTAGTCAAGTGCTAACTGGAGCACAGGGGCTGGAGGACTTTTAATTGGTACAACACCAGTCGGGGGCAAACAGTTTCATGAAACACCCATGTGGAATATGGGAAGTTTGGGTGTCTACAAGTATTTCTGACACTGTCTGGGCCAAGAGTGTTTCTATCAAACATCCCAGACCAAGTAGTAAGCTTTTATATCTCCATATCAAATCCTGTGGTACATTTCTCAAACTCCCAAATCCCCATTTCAGAGACAAGAAAGCTGGTGCTCAGTTGATTAGGGGACAAATACAGCCACAGAGACTCTCCATTTGAGACATGAGCTCAAGAAATGATCAAGACTTCCTTCTTCAGAGGGTCCCTGGCTATGTGATGATCAATGAGGACATCAAGCAGGAGGAACTAAATTCTAGCAATGGCAAGAACACAGCAGGTGGATGAAGAAAAGGTCTTAAAATACACAGAGGGAACGTTCTGGAATGTTTTAGGAAGCAACTCTTGTCTTTTCCTAATGACTTCACACTGTCAGTAGAGGGCAAGCACAGAGCCTGAAGAAGCATGGAGCTCTGCATTTTCTGTTCTTAAGAGGGGGTTCGTCCCAAGAACATGGTCTGCTTAACCTCTGCTCCTCCTCTCTGGGACAACCCCTTACAAAGAATCACCCTGTGCCAGGCTGAACTGAAAGCATGACCCGCGCTCTAAGTGTCTATGGTACTTGAATTTGAGGATCGTGCATGGAGGCTTCAGCCACCTTGTACCCATCAACCTGCCCATCCCTAAGAATGGGGCCAAGCCCATTCCCACTTCTTCTATCTTCTGCACACGGCCAGGAGCCGCTCAAAGTATCTGATTGTTACCCTGGGGCCCTCCAAGGCTGGCACTGCCATTCCATGGCTGTCAGATGCATAAGGAAGCCCGAACCATACACTTGCCACCTCGCTTGGAAATACCACAGAGATACCAATTTCACAGGCTCACTTTTTTTTTTGGTAGGGAACTTTTAAAAATAATAAGAACTGGGTCTCACATGCTTATTTATTGTTGTTGCCAACAGAACTACTCTGTAGAAACCTTCTGGAAAATTCATAATGTCCAGGCCAATGTATTTATAGTAAATTAAAACACAGCTTTATTATTATGATTATTTCCTTGGTTACAGTGTTGATGCTGAAAATTTAGGGAAAATAAAGCCCTTGTTATCACGCTTGTGAAAGATTTTAAGCTAACAGAAAGTTCAGTCTTGATTCCAGGGCAGTTAATTAAGGTTGACCAAGTCAGGCAGAAGTAAATTAACTTGGCTGATCAATTATTTATATGAAGTAGAATAAATGCCCTTAAAGAACTTGGTCTGTTCACAAAGGGATGTGTAAATTAAACCAAACAGAGTTTTGTAAAATATGTTTCTACCGCTATGGGGAGAAGCGAAGTTAGAGGTAATGCCACTTTCAGGACAATGAGCAGAGGGGCTAAGTGTCGCAGTCCCTTCCTGTGCCAAAGGGACAACCCTCCTCCTCACCTCACATCCACATGCAGAGAAGGAAGGGATGGGGAGGGCCATGTTGAAGAGACAACAAGGGAGGGAGGGAGGGAGGGAGGGAGGGACCACAAATGTTAAGATTCCAGAAACAGTCAACATGTATCTCTCACTTTCTCATCAGTTACTTAACAGTCTGGAGGTTGGCAAGGCAAAAGGGGTGTGGGGTGTGGTGGGGTGGGGTGGGGTGGGGTGGGC